AGAACCCACCCATGTTTACACAAGTTTTGAGCAGAAGCATTGTGCTATCAACAGACGAGGTTGCACAATGCAAACAGAATAGAAATGCTCTTTCTAGCTTAACAATAAGACACACACCGACAACTTGAAATCCTGCTAATTTCTGGTTCTAGCTGGGAGGCAACTTTTCAGGTTCTGAGCCAATTAATTTTTGGTCAAAATGCTCCAAACGGTTCAAAATAATCTGCATGAACAGATATGGAACCTTTTGTTGGTAGTAAAGGGGCATATGATTGTCTAGTATAGTTTATATCCGAAAGAATATTTGTTACATCTCTGGAATGGACCAGACCTTGCTCACATACACTTGTGTAACCTATAGTAGAGATGATGTGTTTGTGTCACAGCTGGTCCCTCTGCTGACTTATAAATCAACTGCTAATCAGTCCTGGATCAAAGAGAAGAGTTGTGACCAGTGTGTTTGTTTGTGTGTGTGTGTGTGTGTGTGTGTCCTGTGTGCCATTCCAGGAGATCAGGCCAGCTGATGTGAATGTTTGGCGACAAGTGACCCGTGAAAACCTCTGTCACTGTGCTGAAGCTGTATTGGTCATATCCTGCAGCCAAGGGCCATGGGAGGAGGGCGGGGCTCAACCTGGCATGCTACCCTCCCCACTGTGAGTTTTGTGCAATGGAAAATATTGTGTCGCTGGTCAGGAGCCATATTGGTGTAAAGGAAGGATGCTGCTGCTGCAAGGGGGGCATCAGAAGGCTCTGTGCATCGTCAGCCCTGAGTAGGATTTGAACTTTTCTATGTATCATTATTATTCTGGTACCCCCATAAACCATGGTGATGAAATATAGATCAAAACAATACAATGTTTTCTTTCCCACTTCATACAGGGATTGCAAACATATTAAAATTGGCATAAATAACTTCTCATTTTAAATTCATTTTGAGGTGGTTGAACTCAGCTGAGCATGCTGGGAAGCCAGCCTGCCCACATATTTCATTTTCTCTGAAACAGCTACGGTATGTGCCACTTTCAACCCCATTATTCCTGGCTGGATGGCCAGGAGGCAGAGTGTGCATGGAGCTGTACCAAATGACTAAGCCTCCAGCCCCACCAGAAAAAAAAAATCAAACAGAAATCAGACCTTAACAGTTTGTGTGCCCCCCCCCCCTCCTCATACTCCATAATCTCCTTCCTCCATGCTTGTGCCTGGTATTGTTCTCAGAGCAGACCCAGTCTGAGCCAGAGCTGCCCTCACTACTCTGAAAACACTCACAGCACAGCTCCCAGAACTAACAGTGCACCACAAACTGACACACGTCAGAGCTGCTGCTTTCTGTACCATCCAAAGAAACTGCACAGAATTCACACCAAACTGAGAATTCAATGTGTCCCTGCTGGCTCGGATACATAGTTCAGGAGGATCTTCATCCTGTGGATCATCTGGTGAATTTGTTCTGTACGGACCTCATATAAATTTGATTCACTGTAACCATACTCAACTGTATGTCCTGCTGCTGACTCCATTTGTCTAGAAAGACTTTTTGAAACAGGGTAAATATTGTTTGTTTAATATTTACATTATAAGGAGCTTTTAGAAATCCCAAGAAATGTGTAGGTTTCGCTAGCTATAAGCCAGGTGCATGGTACTAGCATGGGAATTGAACCATCTACTGTATATATGCTGATAATTTTGATGAGTCAACATTTTATCCCAGTGAAATTGTCCAGATTAATTTATATCCTAAATTGGAAAAAGCTATACCTGTTCATCACATGTGAGGATGCATAGTATTTAATGTTATACTGTATGTTGATTTGAGGTAAGAGCCAATCAGTTAGTTTGCTGGATTCAAGGGTATGACATATGAACTTCATTCTGGCTTTATGCAGTCTAGATTTAACTGTTTGTCATCAAATACAATAATTGTGGAGTCTAAGTGTGATTTTGGGGATTTTGGCAAACGACAGTGAGACCAAACCATTGCAGAGTGTACATCTAAAAAGTGAAAAGTGCAGTCATGTTTTTTTCAGGTGCTGGAATATATCATGGAATATTATGTTTCAATCTTCGACAGAAATAATGAATCTGGACATCAGATTAACCAAAGCAAATGGGATTCTTAAAAAATTCCTTTGGAGCACAAGTCATCAAACTCAGTCTACTGAAAATAATGATACTAATATTCTTATCGGCAGAAAACCTTGTGTGCAGACCTTGAGTTTCAATATTTTTATTCTGGTTAAAATGCTAATTTTAAGATCAACAGTTAAATTAGGCTCAATTCAAATGGATTTCTTGATCATAGAGTTTCAACAACTGTGCAACAAAATAATCCCAGTACAAGTCCAGTTGCTATTTTTTTGGAGCTTTTTAACCACATCAACCAATTATTGTCTTATTCTTTTAGCAATTGAGGGTAAACTGTAGAACATTTGGCTTTCAAGCAACAGTGTTTTAAATCTCTGAGGATTTGCAGCTAATATAAATAGATGCAGTGTCTTCTCCCTCATTAGCTTTCATTTGAATATTCATAATGCAACAAGCTTCTGTTTCGGGGGCTGAGAAGATGAAGTGATGCACAGTGTGGAAGAAAGTGACCTTGTTTTCCTTAGAAAGCAGCCCCGGCTCTTTTGCTGTGTCAGTTGCAAATAAAACAACATGAGGAGAACAAACCTGGAGCCTGGTGGAATCTGAGCTGATCAAGAGCACTGATGAGATAAAGAAACAAAAACAGTCGCTATGTCACCAACCTGCTTTTATTCCAAGTGAACAGAGTGGATCAAAACACATAAATATCAAACCCCCTGCCAAACAAAGTGGGGGGGGGGGTGAAACCTTTGAAGCGATGTTTCACCTCTTTCACTTCCAGAATCACAATTCTCGTCAGTGTCCATTTGAGGTTCGGGACAAGGACCACTAAAGTGCATTCAGGCGCGGGCTCTGCTAATGGTCAGATAGGTGAGGCTGGCTCGGACACCAGCCGGTATCTGAGGACGGACACTCGACAGGGAACTGTTCCTGCTGGGCCAGCTGAGCCTGTCGATCGACACGTTTACACATCCACAGGACACATGTACAGGGAGCTGTGTGTTTCGGTGATGAAGTCACAGCTTCCCCCGGCAGCCAGTCATTCTCTCCTGTTACAGCCACGAGGAGACAACTGGTGGCTCTCAGACTGTTTATAAAATCATCTGTTTTGTATTGACCTGTTGTTTATTTATCTAAGTAGCCAACTACAAAATCTGTCATCACAGTTTATAATTGTTTATTCATTATTTACATGACTTAAAAACTGAAACATAGACTACAACAGAAGCAAATGAGTGAAACTGAATCTATGATTGACGTATTAAATCAACCCGATGGATATTAAAAGCTAACTACAAAGCATTAATGCAGAATCACTGTAAACAGCAGTAGTAGGTTATACCAATGTTATGTGGTGAGCTCACTATTGTAAGCAAAGGAAGGTTGACTTGCAGGAAGGGCCAACTAATGTTAGGTCACTAGCTAATTTTACAAAATATATTGCAAATGATTCAAATGAGTTTCATATCAAGGCTGCTGAATTTTAAATTTCATACTACTCAATCTTTCAGCAGATAGATTCATATTTGAGCATCATTATACGCATTTTAGTCTTTTATTTATGAAAAACAAATGTATGGATGCTTATGTTCATACAAAAAACATTTGATCAAGTAATGTTATGTTGAAAATTAGCCAGCTAACACTCCCAAAACAATGTTAACTCACACAACAGCATGGCTTTACCAATACTACATGTTTAGGGGCAATATTTAAGGTTTTCAAGTTTAATCCTGATAATATATCAGGTGATATATTAACGACTCCAAGCTTCTTTGGCATCTAACTGACTTTGCATGTTGATAATTTTAAACTGTGTGACAACCGCAGAGAAACTAGCAGCATTGTACTAATAAAAACAGAACAGTATGTCTGCACTGCATTCTGATCTTTTGTTGCAACTGTCAGTGAAAATAAATCTCCTTCCCTCACTGTGTTGACCTCATGCTGGAGTTGAGTGACGAGTTTAAATAGAAGTGTTTCTCCACTCTGAAGGACTGACACCAAACCCCTGACATTTAACACCGATGTGTTGGGAAGGTTTTCTGCTGTGGCTGTGCTCAGATTCGTCGGCCATTGTGCATCACTGTATTCAGTGAACCACCATCAATCTTCATGTCAACTCCTGGACTCACACTGTAACATGGATACAAAATAGTGTTACTACACTGCAGGGGTGTAATGAGCATTTACTCTCATGACTGTGACAGAAAGTCACTTGTTGTGTACTGTGTGAGTATGTTGGGTAATGTTATTCTTAAGTATTGTACTTGGACACTTTAGGGACTTCACAGTGAATGCGGCTCAAATAATGACTTTCAGGTGAGTGCAACAACAAATCCACTGTCTGTCATAACTCCCCGTCAAGAGGAGAGACCATTGATCACTGATGCTGCTTGGCAATGTAGGACTGTGCGTGTGCACTACACAGTGTGTGAGGAAAGCACACACTTTCTTTTTGTTATTCTTATATGCGTTTGTAGAACTTCTATTGTGAATACCTCTGTGCTTTTGGACATAGTGATGCTTTTAGTCTGCTGTTTCTACACTTGTCATGCATTTTCAGTTATTGTTCTTCATTACTGTTTAATGTTCTGAGTTTTGTCCTATTTTTTCTGGATTATTCTAGTAAGGCCATAGGGAGGTGTGTCTTTAAAGAAGGAATGTTTCATAAGGGCTCTGTATTGTATAACGGTGTATATGCATTTCTAACTTAAAGCTATAAAGCTCATTAAAGTCCCTCTGACCTACTAAAGCTGAGTACACAAGTTTAACGTACTTTCACTTAAGTACAACTATCCAGTACTCTGTCCACCCCAGCCACACTGGCGTTTGCCACTTTGAAGATTTTTTTCCAGATATGGCTCAATCTGTGACCTCAACACAAGCTTTGACTAAATACAAATTCAAAGACTGGAGAAGCAGCATGTGTTTTAACAAATTACATAAAACAGAAAGGTCAGAGCTCATGTTCACTCACTAAGACTTCAGTGTAAACTTCATTTTTCTGCTTCTGTATAGCATAATACTGTACTGCCTTTACGGGAGAGGCCACAGGGCAACAATGAATCCCACGGTCCTCCTCTGGAGCCAAGCGCTGGCTGACTCCAACAGTTCCACGGGAATGCTCAAACTCAGCCGGGCAGACTTGAGAGGGGAAGCCGAACTGGACAGGAATAGTTTTGTCTCTTTGTAGCAAACACAATAAACTTCTCTCATGTTGCCTCAGATCCTGCTCACATGTTGTAGTTCCCACTCTGAGCACATCATCTTTTCTTCTTCTTCTGTTGCCGCAGCATCTTCCTCCTCTTCATGATCATGGCGTGCAGCTTTTGCAGACCTTCCTGCAGCCCCTCGCCGATGATAGCACAGGCGGGCTGTAGGTGCCAGGGTGTGGCGGTGCTGAGCTCGCCCAGAGCCAACATACTCTCCATCTCAGCCAGACTGAGCGAGTTCCTCAGGTCCTGCTTGTTAGCCACCACCAGAACTGGCACGCCCTGGTTCTCTGCCAGCCGCGTTATCTTGTGCAGCTCTGTCTTAGCCTCCTCTATGCGCTCAGCATCCACAGAGTCAACCACGAACACGATCCCATCTGCACAGCGTGTGTAAGACCGCCACAGCGGCCGCAGCTTCTCCTGGCCTCCGACATCCCAGAAGTGGAAAGATGCCGTCCGCCGACTGCCTTTGACTGACACTTTGATCTTCTCTGTGTTAAAACCCTTAGTTGGGACAGTGTTCACAAACTCATTGAAACGCAGACGATAAAGCACGGTGGTCTTGCCCGCGCAGTCCAGTCCTAAAATGACAATGTGAAGAGCCTGGAAGGATGGGAGGCATGGAAGGAGAGAGTGATGGTCCGATAATCCGTTCCCCATCTTGGCGCACACAGCAGGAGGAGTCTCCACCAAAATATTCAGCACGCTGGCTTTTAGTCCCCCAGGGGAGTGCAGCTCTCAAGCCTGGCGGGGTCAACACAGTATGCATAATGAGACAAAGCACACAAACACCCACCACCCCATTGCTTCACAAAAGACCAAGCACCCCACAAGTAACTAAACCCCCATCTCCCTTCACACTACACATCCTCACATTATTCTAGCCGAGAGATGAATAAGAAAATAAAAGATGAATGAGAAATAAAACAGCAAGGTGGATAACAGCTCATTTGCACATGTAGCGCCACAGCAGCCACCAGGGATTTCATAGGCTAATTTCTATTCAGCCTGTGAATCACTTAACAACAGGACGGAGGCTTTTGAATTTCAGTGAAATCCCAGATTGAGTTGATCATCCAGTCTTCAGGGACAGATGAGAGGAGGGCTGTTCTTACAACAGTAGCACAGCACTCTGACAGGGAGGAATACAGTGGCTTTAAAAAGGAAAAGAAGATGTTGCTCGGCAACACACACTGACTTGTCTCCTATGCTGAGGATAAAGCGAATTTCAATTACGAATGTTAAATGACTAAATCCTTGCTCAGCTGCGAACACACACATTTGGCAAATTATAATTCAACAATAACACAGACAATCAACATTTAACTGCAACAAATTCACGACTTTCTCCATTGGTTTGCTGCCTGTCTGTGGAGGGAGACCGCTGATTGCATTAACAGGTGAATTGTCACAATAAGTGGACACTTAATAAAGAAAAATCCATGTTTCTTGCTGTAGCCTGACAGATTTAATACGAATTCAAACGACGGGGGACATGTGTCCACTCACACAAAACACGGCAGATGATGCCATCTAATTTAGGAGCATTTCTAAATGGAGTCTGGCTCTGTGCTAAAACCACAGCTCAGGCTCCATTCGAGGCTGTGATGCCAACAAGTGTTCCAAACCCACACCAGTGAAACTGGCTTCCCTGGTCTCAGTGTTGAGGACAGTCTTCATGACAGTAACATGTCAACACAGAGAAACAGGTTCGTCTCATTAAAGGACCATTTCATTCCAGTTGCATTAATATAAATATGATTTAAATATTTGAACAGCAGACATGCTTTTCTACACTGAAGACACATTTCCTAGTTATCATCACAGGAAACTTACCAGCACAATGTTGATGTTAATCCATGGCACACAGACAGTGTGTCCACGCTCTGCTTCGTCTCTGGTCATGTCCTCACATCAACTGAAGCTCCTCATCTGGAGACTCTCTCCTCCACAGCAGCGTCCGGCTGACAGAGTGCAGCCCTCCGCTTCCTTCACTGCGTTTCAAAATAAAGCACGACTTATGCAATAGCTAAATAAGAGCCATTTGAACTTGATTGGCGAGACCGCTCATAAGAAACCTCATGGGGAAAACAGCTTGGGTCTTCGGTTAATGGTTATAGGATTGTCCCATCCATTGCAGTTTTTGAACCAGATTGAAAGAATAATTTTTTATTCACAAGTGCCTTGAACCAAGGTATCATATAAT